AAAAAGAACGATGAATTGTAATATCAATATACATAAGAAGGGTCAGAAAAATGAGCGAAAATGTTATTATTAATCATTTGGGTCACTATAGCCGGATATGATTTCTTGAGAATCAGTCATAATAAACGATATGTCATTTTAAACGGAGTCATTACATCCAAACTTTCCTATAGAGAATTTAATATGAAAACCAAACTTAACACTGCAGTTACTTCATATTAAGCGGTTGGTCAATATAGGCGGAGTCATAATAAACGAATTCCACTGTATGTAGAATGGATATCCGTGAGTTTCTTGTACGGGCTTCACGAAAGATAGTTCTCTTGTGTTAAGACAATTTAAAAATAAATAGAATTAATCATGCGAACATCATAGTAACATACTGAAAATATCAAAAGTACCTACAAACGTTACAAAAACGGAAATCCTACCTTGATTGAAAATCATATGCCAATATCTTTGTTGCCAGTTTTTCAAACTATAGAAAGTAATAAGCCACTTAAAGCCATATTTTGGAAAGTAACTAATGAGTATGTAGGCACATACATACATATATTGTGTATATATCAACACGACTTTTGTGCAAATAAATAATCTGGTCACAACACTACTAATCATTACTGATAAGATATATACATATAAACATCTAGACAAAAATGATAAAGTGGCTTTGTTTATTTCAATTCAAATAAACTTATTATTAGTTAAGTGTCGTTTCATGTCCATGATATCATAGGGAATTGGACGAAGGTAGTGATTCCAAGAGAAACTACTTAAAATTTCGTAGAACGTTTCGCTGTATTTTCTAACTTCCTCAGTAACTACAAAAAATATATAAGGCGATCAAGGATGTTTGGGAGGTATGTCAAAATGCTACGAGACAAATAAAAATGTGGAAGAACGTTCTTCATTCAATTCTAAAACTTCGTGAAAAATAAAATTAAAAGTGCGTGGACAAATTNATACATACAGATATATCTATTTTATTTAAGATCTCACAAATTATAAATTAGACTTATCATTACAACAACATTTTCTTTAGGTTTTATTTGTCTTTCGTGAAAGCATAATACTTTTATCCATTCTATTTCAAATTTTCTTTCCTCTGAGGTCCTTTCTCTGTACTAAAGTTAAAGTAATTTCTATTTATTTGACAATCGGTCAAACAATAATGTAGAACCATAATTTCCCAAAGGTACGCAGACGCCACATTGCAAACATTCAATAAGATATGGGAAATGAAAATTCTTGGTCGCGGAATTCAACTATCGATCCTACAGGAATGCGAATACAGCTGGCCAGCCGTTGTATCGTGGATGGCCATTATAGACGTTACATGCTCATATAGAATACGCAGACAACCACTGCAGAAACTTCGACTTGCTTCCTAATATTTAAAACGGTTAATACTCAACATTATATTAAAACGGTTGGATATACATTTGGTTCACAAAGCTGTTTTTGCTATTATTTAATATTCGAAATACTAATACCTACTAAATGCTTTGCACTAATTGTAAATCAATTTTCCAATCGATATAAAGGATTTCACATTTTTTAAGTTATTACCATCTTTTTTGTGGATGCGGTAGATACAACCTCATCATTACTTATTTTACTTAAACTTTGAGTAGTTTCAGAATTTCATAAGTCTTGCATCTGCAATAAAACAAAAGCTTTTTATATCATCAAGGTCTACATTCGACCATAAAAGTCGCTATATCTTACTAGCTATGCATATACATACTATTATTTTTATAGCAAGTAAAAATTTACTTATATAAATTTATGTGCCCATTATTTTTTTTTTAAATCGCTTTTCCGTAGTTTTTCGTTCACACTAGAATGTGGGTCAATATCAGTTCGTATTCTACAAAGTAAATATTGAAGAATATTGAAGTGTAGGCCACGGGCACGGCAAAGGTGTGGCATTTGTTGGGGTCTTCCACGAGGTGTGTCATCGTATAAACATGTTCAATTATATTATTTTCCCTTAAAAAAATCCGAAACTTACTTAATTCATTATTTATTCATATTTGAATATATTACAATATCCGTAATCCCAAAGTAGAAGACCAGAACCGTATAACAACTAATTGCCTCAAATCCCCTAACTATCTGAATATTGCACACGGTGATCATAGAATCCATTTATATTTTATATTATTAAGTAATATATTTATGGAAGAGATTGATTCATGGTCACCTATAACGATGAGAATTACTAGTGACATTTTAGAAGTCTGAATCAATACTGTAACTTTTTCATTTTAAGAAATACTTTACCATAAAATCAATATGATGACCTAATAGAAATCATAGTGTTCATAAAATCTAAAAGAATTTTTGAGGAAAGCAGTTAGTGTGATTTCTTCGAAATAAAAACTAACTCTGTGTAAGGATATATATAGAGTATATTCTTAGTAATGCATCAAATTTCGTTTAAAAATGCATTTTCAGATCCATTATCGCTTCTTAGAAATCATGCTTCAAATATTTTATTTGTTATTTAAATGGAAAATACGAATTTGTCGTATGTTCGTTTTCGAAATTCAGTAACCCCTAAAGGAGGTGATAGAGGGTCTAAAAATAAGAATACTGAAAAATTTATATCACTATCATGGCAACAGATGATCGTTCTCGATATATTATAAATAATACTTATGAAGTTATCGCGTTTTTAATCGCGAAAATTCAAAAGTTTATTTCAACGTTCGTTTTCCATTTCGGAAATTGTTACCATACGTTTACTAATGCAGTTAAATATAAATTTTAAAAATAAAACCAACTCAAAACTACTAGTTGAGCGAAAAAATAAATTTCAAGATGAATGTTACTAGGTACTACCTACCTCCTGCTTTAATAAAAGATTATTTCTGTTATCTACATTTATTTATTTATTTGTAATAGTATTTTAAGTCGGTTTAATTGAATTGCTTACGTTAAATTTTTCCAATGGGAAATTACCCGTCTACATTATTTTGTTTTTAGTTTGTCATGTTGTTACAAAACAGATTTCAAAGTCAAATTTTTTGAATGAAAATAGACCATTTGCATATACTGAATGTCACCGTTACTACCGGGATACTGCTTATAACGTACCTATGTAACACCTATTGAAAAAATTACGCAGACTGTTAAATCATAAAATCGGGAAAACATAATTTCATAATATATATATCTCGTCGTACATACTTTTGAGCATTTTTATAAATCATTTCTAAATTTTAATTTACTATTACCTACATAAAAGATGCATGTACGCATCGAAATTGTTCCAAGTGTAAAAATCCCCGGGCCATTTCAGAACATCCATCTCCCGCCAAAACTTCTCAACGGATAACACAACACATTCTGCAAGCAATCTATTTTTGCACAATTAACTTGCGTATACAGCGCATTAGTTTTGCATACGTAACATTATTTAACGTGTAGAAAAAGAAATTCAACTGAAAACACGAAAAATGTATTTCGATGATGAAAATCGTCACTTGGCGTCGTTTTCTGCGCGCACTACAACATCCTCACTCCGACTTCCATTTGAAATGAACGATGCAAAAACTTCCTGTTTATGAGTTCGTGTCGGCCAGATTAAGCGTCTGGTCCACATTTTATCCCACTTTATCCTTAGTGACATGAGCTACCGTCTGTCTTTATCGCCAAGTTTACTTGGGTCCCCCTCTATACCAAAGGCGACATCCAATAATAACCGCCGAACGTCGACGACGACGCTACGATTGTGTATATTAATTGTTTGTTATAAAAGGTACGGTTCGTATTAATAAAAGGTGGCCGTGGATTTCGGACAAAAGGGGATTAACCGGCACAGTACGGCCGGACATCAGATACCTGTTAGTCCAGGCAATACGGGCGGCTGAGTGGGAAAAATATTGGGATTAATTTTTTTACGCAGTTTTGTTCGAAAGATTCTCCTGAACACAACGATGCATGGTTGCCAGCCGGTACTTCGGTTGGGTATTGTTTAAATGACGATTGTTTAAATAAATGGCAAAAAACAACTTTTTTTGGCCGGAACAATTTTTTTTTACATTCTTTGGTTNTGTTAGTTTAGCTGTATTTATTATGTTTCATTGTTCAAGCATGTAGTTTAAATATTTTTGATGTACATTTGTAAAACTAAGAAGTAATGTAAAACTTAATACGTAAGTGGGAGTGTTGAGATGATGTTGGTAGTAGTTAAGTTTTATTATTTGCGGTATTTTAAGTTGGCAATATAGTTGATGTTAAGTTCCTGTCATTTATCAGTGGTAGTATTTTAATTTTTTTTAGTCTTGTCTATGGTTGTAAAGAGCGCACTTGTACAAGTTCTAAATAAACGTTCTAATAGTAAGTACCAACATAACACCACAAAAAAAACGAACATACGTAACTCGCGGAAATTCAAAATTCGCGATACTTTTTGAACACACCTCGTACATGAAATCATGATTTTCAATCGTATTGAGTTAATATTGTTTATCATGTCTTGACACATTGGCTGCTCACCAATTCTTGGCCGGTTTACTTTGAACAATCAATTAAATATCTTTATATACTGCAGGCTACGTGATACCTAATTAATGAAAACAGAAACTGTTAAATGCAAAATAGGAAAAGAAACATTTAAATAAATATGTATACATTTACACTTTTTTCGCAAAATTAAAATATGTAATCAGGTGATGACATAAGCTATAATGAGATTCTCAAATGTATTATCTTTAGATTCCGATTAATTATTGAGATATCAACTTCAGAAAAGTACACGAAACTATTTTCTATTGTTAAATCCTTTTTACAGAAAAAGGTATTGTAATAATATTTAAAACTGACTCTTCAAATGTAAATAATTCTGCCACTATTGTTAGCATTTACGGTTGCCGAAGCACTTAAATGCCACAAAGATACAGCTACATAATTTAGATACAAGTTAGAAAGTAACGTCTAAATAAGTTCGTATAAAATACGGAAAAGTAAGTCTCATCCAAAAGCATTTACAATCTTTCTATAGGGTTTGAAAAGTTATAATTCCGTCCACGTTCTGTGACGCTTTATTACATCACGGTGGTGTGTCTGCAATCGAGTCGTCGAGTGCTGCACTTTGGTAACGGCAATATCACGACTTTCTTCATGCATCTGTCGGTTGAAGGCCCATTGAAGAAGTTTTAATCTTTTGCCGACGCACTTTGAGGATCGTTTTAATGGAGAAGTTTGCGACGACACCAGCCCTTAAACTAGGACGGCACCGGGAACGGCAACTGCCGCCGCTGGATTACATGCAGGTTTCGCGCATTAAAACCGCATTTGTTCGCCACTTCCGTAAATACGTGTCGTGATGGAAGCCACGGTGCTCATCAGTGCATTTTAACATTTACGAAAGTACTCGAAATCTATGTGTATGCCTGTACATAGACATGTACATGCGGACGATGCAATAGACGATCTTCAAATGTTCCTGACTCAAAGACTGACGCAAAAGGAAAACAGCTCTTCTTCTATTTTCCTCTCCTTTTGAACAGTAACTCTAAGAAGTTTTACTAATATAATAAGGACATATGTTAACTTTTAGACGTATTAAAATGTATTATGGGTATTGTGTATTTTGGAGAAATTCTATATAGGAAATCATCATCATAAGGTCGTCAGTCCTAAGACCAGTTGGACACGCACCTTCACTCTTTCCTATCCTGAGCTAATCTTCGCATTTTCCCACAACTAAAAGAACTCACAGCCTTAACTATTTGCGAACAGTAATCTAATCTAGGTCTACCTCTACCCCTCCTAACTCCCGTTTCTGCCTCTAATATGTCTCTGACTAGACCTTCATGCCTGAGAAGGTGTCCTACCAACCTATCTCGCCTATTTTTTATTGACTTCCATAGAGTCCTCTGTTCTCCTATTC